ACCTGAGGGTATCGAAGCCTAGCTATGTTACCTCATCATCAGTATACTTGTTTGTATATGTTTTGAAACTACAGGACATGGAAAGCTGGAGTAGCGCAGTGGTGAAGCTCCACCTTGAGTCTGCGGTGCGGATACATGCGCTGGAGTCTCTTGTACGACTCTGAGGTCAAAAAAGTCTAATTATCATGTGCTTGATGATAGGTTCGCATTTTCAGATGTGGATTCCGTGGATTGCATAGCTTTCTTAAAGCTTTTTTGTGAGGTAGATTTGACTTTGGCAACGGAGACGGGGAAGAGTCGGGTGAATTGGAAGAGGTTTTTCAGGTACAGAAGCGGAAGGCGTCGCGATTATACGCGACATAGCAAATCTATTGTAAAAAGTGGTTGACTGACGCTTTTTCCCTGAAGGAAAGCACTTGAAGAGACAGCGCACTAGAGTACCACAACGGTGGAATAGGTTTATAAGTAGAGCGTGAGGCTTAATTAACTTTAGTGCCTGTAGTACCGATTTCGATCAATTTCATTCTTGTTTTATTCAGTGTTCACCACGTTTCGTTCACATGCCCATCGGCAGATAGTTTTTTTGTGTGTTGCTTTTGAGAAGGTTGACTGTGTTACGCTATCTCTTATTGATTTAGTTACTCAGCGAAGTAAATCATAGTTATTGAGACTGCTTTCGCCGCCTTTGTAATTGTTGTATTATTTCAAGGTGTAGCTGGCAAATTTGTCATTTATAAGATGCATTGCGCGCAAAAAGCGCACAGGCGTAGAATTGGTAAGTAGGCAAGATAATATGAAGATGAGGTCCTGTTCTTCCTGAACACAAGAATAGTAGCTTTAGTTCAAGACCAGAAAGTAGTTGGTCATCGTAAAGAGTTCAAAACCATACAGCGCCTTAAGCTCATGTTGGGGGCTTAAAGAGCTAACTAGTTGGTACTGTAAGTGGCAAGGGCTAATTGGGCTTAGAGTAAGGGTTATAGAAATTGGGTATTGTAGGACAATCAAGGGACGAGAAAAAGAAGTCAAATTTTTGAACTCAGGAGATTGACGGTGGTCGCGACAGAGGGTGCCGCAACAAGCTTCGTATCTATAGCGACACATTTTTCAAAAAGTCTAAATTAAGTTTGAAATATGTCCTTTATATATATCAAAAGCCACAAAGTGGTATATTATCATCTTCTGTCCGATAACAGAAGATGATGATATAGCACTTTGTGGCTTTTGATAGAAATTTGAGTCTACTTCGGTTCCTGACTAGTCGTGATGCAGTCCAGTTTCTGGGAAATTCTTCACGCAAAGGCACCAGTGAAACTTCTTTAGCTTGAAAGATTAGCAAAATCTTGTCTTATAAAATACAAAAATAAACTTTGGTCCGTTCTAAACAAATTTGAGCTACAAAAATTCCCGTCATGATCTACACCATACACCGCCGTGCATCACGCTGCTTGAAGTCGAGTTATTTTAAATGCTTTCTAAATTTTGTTTCTACCACATTATTAGGTCATCTTCGAGAGTGCTCAACTTACCTCAGGCTTGGATGTCTAAACATTTTTTGTAGTTCTGATATGTCATCGTTCTTTTCCGGTATTTTTTACTGCTATACCGTTCTTCTCACTGACCTCTCTGTCTCTTTACATCCAAAAAAAAGTTAAATCATTTCACAAAGTCATATTGCTACTTGTAAAACTCTGACTGTCTGAGATTAAGCTTCAGCACCACAAAGGGACTTCAAAGTTCATATATGGTGTTTGATACAACCAGCATATCTCTTTGGCCGCAGCAACCTACAACGGCAGTAAAACCGTTCTATTTGCTGGTTCTCTGGGGGTTTTCAAAGACCCCTTCTCTTTTGCACATACATTTATGGGCGATGTTAATATGAAAGAGCTGTAAATTTTCATATATTACCTTCTAAACAAATTCAAGTTTTGAGTGGTACGCGGTAAAAAGACATAAAATCGAAGAGTAAGACTAGTTTTTCAATAAGGCAAGGGAGAGCACTAGTACAGAATATATTGAATGTCGGGCTTTCGTTTTTTTCTTCCCCCTTAATTTTGTGATTTGTCAGCCAAAAGGTGTTTTTGTCGAGTTTTGATCATAGACAGCAGAGTAAAGTAAGACGAATAGGAGAAATTTACCGTATTTTTGGTATCTAAAAAATTTAAGTTAGAAATTGTTTTATTATAGAATTATTAGTGGCCGTTTTCATAGTGCTTACATCTAATCCTTCTTTCAATGTCATTTCCATTCTGTGACCTCTCGATAAGAAGCAACACATTTTTGAAGCTTAATAAAGCGCAAGTTGAGCAGTTAATTTTGATTCTTTCATGAAGATTCCATTTAGGAATTAAATCCTTACAGCTCTTTTTTTAAAACTTGTGTGGTAAATGTGGACTTTTCTTTATAAACATCTTTGTTTCTAACCTCACATAGGCAAAATGAAAAGATTTTTCTCTCTTTGTTTCTAACATTCTCTTGATTCCTTTTTTGATTTCAGGAAAAGGATGGAAGTTTTGC